CCGTGGAGCCACACCCATCTGAAACTAATCTGTAAACAATTAAGGCGGAGGTTGCCAGTGCATATCTCAAATTAATTTGCAACATGTGTGCCATTCAGCTAATTAAGTTTGCCCACTGATGAATTTCATAATAATGAGCCAAGGGCTGCAGCGAATTAAATTAGCTTGTTTACTTTAATTATGTATTTATCACTTTATAAAAATACTTGAAATGTATTTGTAATTTAAAGCAGGATATTCCCTATGAATAACCAATTGGAAATTATAAAACCCACTTGCTTATAAAAATAAACCATTATTGAAATAATATATTAAAAACATATAATGGTATGCAACCCAAACGAATTCAACAAATTCTTTTAACAATCTTGAAGTATTATTTCCCTTGTTTAAGTAAGAAAAAAAGTTATATCTCGAAAAAAACTTCAGTTGCAGTGACTGGACATGTAAATCTGAAAGTGTTTCCAATTCACTTTATTACTCAGCATTTATTTTTTAGTGTACCAAATTCGTTGCAGACGCTGGAACAGCAATAAATTCAATAATTAAATCGGCTGCAGGTCGACCATTAAATGTTCAATGGAAAAGTACGCCACAAAACAACAGACAGAAGACCCTGCTGATAAGGCGGAAACTAATAGAAGAGATAGGGGATCGGCGGACGGGGAATGGAAATGGGAATGGGAACTTAGACCCGTGCCTAGGAAAGCATATCTCACATTTGACTCACTTTCACACAAACAAACGAAAGGCAACAAACAAAGGCAAACAAACACGAGGCCGGCGAACGTGGAAACATGGAAACTCTTCAAATACAAGGGTGGTCAAAAGTATTTTCACAAAAAAAAAGTTAAATATATTCATAATTTGAACTTACATCTTGTTAACTTTGGCATCAATGGAAAGGTAATTTAAATGCCGTTTGAATGATACAATACATTTCCTAACACATTCAGTACTTATTGAAAAGGACGAATTTGTGTGAAAATGTCCTTTTTGAACTTTTTTCCTCGACTTGAAAACTTAAATTTTTTGATGCAAAAAGTTTCTTCAAACAAAAATAATAGTAACTGCAAAAAGAATTTTTCAAAAATCATTTTGCTTATATTTTTTATGATTTTTTGAAAATGCTTAGAAACATGCATTTTAGGCATATTTTTCTCTTTTTCATACAAATTTTTTCCGACAGTGTCACCTTTAAAAAACCATAAAAAATATAAGCAAAATGATTTTTGAAAAATTCTTTTTGCAGTTACTATTATTTTTGTTTGAAGAAACTTTTTGCATCAAAAAATTTAAGTTTTCAAGTCGAGGAAAAAAGTTCAAAAAAGACATTTTCACACCAATTCGTCCTTTTCAATAAGTACTGAATGTGTTAGGAAATGTATTGTATCATTCAAACGGCATTTAAATTACCTTTCCATTGATGCCAAAGTTAACAAGATGTAAGTTCAAATTATGAATATATTTAACTTTTTTTTTGTGAAAATACTTTTGACCACCCTTGTACAGTGCAAACACGGCCTGCAACCACCACATGTGTGTGAAATGTAGGTGAGGGCACAGTAAACATTGCCTGCAACCGATATTGGGTTGCCCAAGAGCAGCTTATCTCCCTTTTTGTGTGGGCAAGCATTTCTGTACAGCTCTCGTTCAAATAATAGCGATTATACAAAGTATTTAACAAGGGGAAAGTGCAAGAAGAAAGTTTGAAAACTAAATCATAAAGAATTCGCGCATTATCATATATAAGAGGAGTTCAGGGGGAAGTAAATAAGTTAATGGTAATCAAAAGGTGAAAGATCTTGATTCTGTGATGTGAAAACTACTGTAAAAGATCAGGAGTATTTTTATCACATCCTAACAATTTTGTTTTTAGATTCAGACATATTTAACAAAGATTTATCAGTTAATACTAAATTTTGTATTTTGAAAGTTAATGGCAATTAAAATCCATTGGTAAACTATTCTGTTGACCATGGCTGTGGGGTCATCGTTGCCTTCAAGTCAAAGTGATTATAAAAGGGTCTCACTTTTTCCATATCTTTTGAGCTGGGTATTTTAGTACCGCTGATATGACACCCCACACAAACACACATCCCCACACACACACCCACAGCTGTTGAGACTCGTAACTGATTAACTAATTGAAAAATTTGTTTTGCATTTGTTTTCGCCCGTTGGCCGCTTCTGTCTTCTCTTTTGCTAATGAAAATGGAAAATGGGAAACGAGTAAAAAGTCGGTAGCGCACACTTATGTACATCCATTGCGCCCTAACGGTAAAAACATTTGTAATTGCAATTTGCTGTGGAGAGTCAAGTGTCAGCTGTTTGCCCCCATCCCCTTCCTACTCGAATTTCTATCTCTTTCTCCCTCCCCCCATTCTTGAGCACGCAATATGGCGTCATGCCTCTGGCATCTCACTCGCACACACACTGAGAAGAAAACCATGTGTGGTCGAAATAAATGCGACACTTAAAATAAGTGAGCTACAAAGTGAGGCTTTGGCATTTGCTTTGGCGACCATTGCAAATTGTTGTAAATTACAGTGTGGATAAAGAGAATTAGAGGGAGCATGAATTCTAGGTCAGTGGTGGAAATGAGCTCATGTGTTATACAGTGGTCACTAGCTAAGAGGAACAGAGAAGAAGGGGTGCGAAATTATCATCATCATTTATTATTATTTTATTATCATCAAAATACACCTTTAAAAGAATTAATTCTATTATAAAAGATCTTTTCACCTTTAAATAAAAATAAAAGGGGCATTGTTTTTAATATTTCATTTAATTATTCCCTCGTGATAAAGTTTCCCTCTATCTTATACTACAATTTATCTCCTATCAAGTTAGTAATTCAAAATAAGATACCGTTGGAATTCTCTTATTCATGATAGGTAAACATAAACAATCTGGAGTAACTGGCGCCCTGATATGAATATGATATCCGTAATACTCATGCGAATTTGTTATTGATCGCTTTGGCAGAGAAAAGCGATAAGGGCGTTAAATTTACTAACCCCTAAAAATAGAATAATTCGACCACCCATTTCCCCAGAAATGATTAGGGAAATACCTCAAAAGATTCCGATTCACACAAAGTGATATCATGATAATGGCTATGTTGGTAATGCTCTCGTTCCCTAGTACACCATTACACCATTGTTATATGGTTAAGATAAGGGTAAAAATGGCAATCGAAGAGTGACGCATTGTAAGCCCCTTTAATACCATTAGCCACTTGACTTTTGGCCAAATCGGAATGCCCACGCTTCTGTTTTCAGCTCATAATATAAACAACGGAACTTTTGGTCTGGGTCCAGAAAACAGAAAAACCGAGTGTTTGCTAAACGTATAAATTTAAACGCAGACAGCTGTTGGTATTTGAATTGTGACTGAGTCATTAAATGCGGTTCGTAGAATTTCGTGTTGGTTTGATTGATTAACTCTATGATATTTTCACTTTATATTATTTTCGAGAAGATGCTCTCACATATGCAAATTGGGTTAATAACTTCGAAGCCATGTTTGTGTTTTGGCCTTAGATGACTTTTATTTTCACAGCGCTTGATGGGGGTTTTTCTTGTATTGATTTTTCTTATTTGCATGGGAGAAGTGCAGTTTGTGGGGAAAAAGAGAGGAGGGCCAAAATACGCGTTTTTTATAGCGGCTTATTTGTTGTTTTGCGGCTCACACAGATAACGCATGCAAGTGTGGGTAAGAGAGGGAAAGAGAGAGCTGGCAAGGATAAAAGAGGGGTGGAGAATGGAGAGTGCTAGAGTGAGAGCGCCCGATTCCTACCCCAATTACGCCCGGCGGCTCCAAAACAGCCCACGCATACACATGCAAAGATGAAAACACAGCTGCAGCGGCGCTGATTTATTGATTTTTCCCCTGGCATCTAAGCTCTTTCGATCAATTACATAAAACGTTCTTTACTATTTGGGGGGACAATTAACTTGTACACCGAGTAAAATTAGCCACAAAGGGGTCTAAAAATAGACCATTCACGCCTGCCCTTGACTCTTTTTTTCTTTTCTACCTGCCTTTTGCACAACACACACACACGCACACGCCTGCAGAGGCGGCTAAAAAGGAGGCGAAAAAGGAAAAGATGCCAAAAACCCACACGAAAACAACAAAACTCCGCAATTTACAAGTTCGTGTGTGTATACTTGGCTTGTACTTACGTTTTTTTTAGTTGGCCAAGTTAAAACAAGCTCGGTTCGCAGGAAATCGCAGGGTGAGAATCTGGTTTTTCATATTTTTTGATTAATCAGCTTTATTGCACGACACTTTCATTGACATTTCTTTTGATTTCTTATGGGGGAATTGGAATTTCGAATTGAAAACTGGACGACAGACGACAGGCTTTTCTGCCTGTTTTTGCTGGCTTGGCAAAAGGAAACTGGTTTTTCCGCACAACTTTGATTATTTCACGTACGTGTTTCTCTCCTTTTCTGAATTGCTCGCTGTCACTCGTCCGCCGTTTATTGTGTTTTAATAAAACGCGCTCGAAATCGCCTGCGACTAGCAAAGCATAGGTTTCTTTTAAAAACAAATACGCCGCCGCGAAAAACGCTACCGTTTTCGGTTAGAGTAATTCAGTTTTACATTTTACAAATTTTACAACACTGCAAAACAGTATGACCGCAGTCGGACCATGAAAAAAACCCGCTAAATTGCTGTCGGTAAACGCAGGCGCACGTAAACGTAAGTGCACGTAAGAGCTACGTAAGTGTCCGTAAAGGAGGAAGACCGCATCTTCGGATTTTATTCGAAAAAAAGAAAAATTTCGTAAGCATTTTAAAATTTTGAACCTCAACTTGGGGATCACTTGAGATAAGAACGCATCTCGGATCACCAGAATATTTATATGTTCTCCGAAAGTTATGTACAAAATATATTATAATATAAAACATTTCCCTTGGAAAATCATTTCATGTGGACTAAGTTTGCCGATTATATTAAAAAAATCTAATAATATAATTTTATTCAATTTAGTTTTGCTTAGGCTTAATCATCATTTCAACCGAGGCAAGCGAATTCGTGTAATTCAAGCTCTGCCATTTATTCCAATAAATTCCATTTCGCGGGTTTTGTGTTACAATACCATCTCTATAGTATTTTCCATTCAGCATGCTGTAATAATCAGAACTCATAATTGCTTAATGTTAATATATATTATTATCTATTTACCAGTCAGCACAATCACCAAACCACCAACCACCAAATTCGTTAGAAGCGCAATTTCCCTTCAAGTTGTCGTTGTCCTTATCAAATGTGGTGAACTTTAGGTTCAGATGGTGATATAGGGAGTTTCCAGCAGTGCCACTATATGCCCCTATGGACCTCAGAACATACGACTCTGTCTCATTGCCAATTTCGAAATGATCAAAACGTGCGTAACTCAAGGATCCATCAAAGCCTCCGAGTTTAATATAAAGTTCATGGGGTCGCGACTTGGTCATCAAGTGTATTTTTTCCAGCCCAATAAAAAACTCTCTTGTCACTTTCCCAAACCCATCCTTGTAGTCCTGCCAGGATCGATCGAAGTTCTCGGATCCATCGTAACGTTTCTGAATTGTCATCCAACCGTATTCGTTGCAGGGCACTTCGAAATGTTCTAGTCCGTCAAGTTCGGTTTTATATACGCCACTTGGACCACTTGGACATCCGTTTGTTGCACTAAAGGTCCGCCGTTGGTCATGTTCCAAGAGCTTAATAGTTTGGTTGATTGACTCCACTAGGGCTTCTTTGGTCCTGAGCTTCTCAGTTGTTGCGTTCAACTGAATCCGCAAGTCCTCTGCAGTCGTTGTGCACTCCACTGAATGAGTGATAAAGGCGTTGAGCATCGCAGTACACTTTTCATCGCAATTGAACTTTAAAATGGGTGGTGCCGGGCATTCACTGCTATTAACGAGTAATTCTTCAAAGCCCAAAAGCAGCAGAAGAATTGAGAAGAATCTCGATTTCATGTTGAATGTGCACTAAACTTAATTTGAGCATCAGTGCGGTTTTTATAGACTGAGCTCATTAAGATAAGACCTATATTAGGTCAGTTTATTTTATTCTTGCGAAAATAAGAAATTAAATTTTATATTGAGTTTTTAATTTACTTACCAATTAACCAAATTCCAACTCAGTATTAAAACACATTGAATATTATATACATAAATGGATTTAGAGTACTTTATGACATTTACTTTATTCTCATATCATATTATTAACGAAAAAATGTACATAAAAACGTTACTGCTGCTTGGTTTTCCTCGCTCTTTGCCCCCGATAATTATACATAATTTGACTTTTCCTACGCTTTTTCCGGTTCCGCTCACTCCTTTGGTCCAGACACACTCGTATTTTTGATGGGAAGCCTGGCTAGTTATCAAAATACTGCTCTCGACTGATTTTGGGGTGGTGGCCAATACTGTGGAATACTTCACTTTCTTTGTACAGGGTAAAATTCATTTATACATTTCGAGGCCGGAAAGGGTCCTAATTTTGGAATCTGAATTCTGGACCTGGTCTCATTCATTCAACTAACGAATTCGCTATAGGTTAGCTATGTATTGTGTTAAGTTTGCTTTAAAAATTAGCCTTGGCTTATAAATATATTTCTGTGTAGATTTTCCTCAGCTTTTCGCCCGCGGTTTATTGTAGAAGCAGCCTGTAGACGGTTCGTGAGACGCAAGAAGTGCATTTGCAGTTCGGTTTGTTCGCTATTTTTGATTTCTATTTAGTTTTTTGGTTCGCTTTACAATTAAATTGTCTGACAAAATGTACACAAGATAAATGAAATGGAATCGAAGCGAATCAAATTACATATGCGGTGTAAAATTACAAAATATCTTTGTCGTATTGTAGGTGACTATGGATGCAAATTGTAATCTATGGATGTTTCTGGCAGAAAATTTTAAATGTGAATATTAATTTTGGTTCTTCTTAGTTTAGAAAATGTAATTTTTATTTAAAATTAAAATACATTGGCCAACATAGTTTGAAAACCGTTTTCAGACACTTTTTTCTTAATAAGAACAACCACAAACTATCTATAGATTACATCCCGCCATCCACACACCCTCCTACTTTACAAGACATATCGTTACGTCCTTTTTAATTGCCTAATAGGTTGTAATGCTCTCTATGTGCTGTTCGGCTACTTAAGATTATTGTACAAGCGACAGAATCAGCAAACTGGATAGACGAAACGAAACCCATCGAATCGGATCCGAACGAAAGACTGAATTTTGTTAACAATAAGTGGGGTCATCCATCCCGGTCCCCAGGGTACGACTCTACTGGTACTCGTCATCACTGCTCAGCAGCATGGTCTTCTCGTTGTAGTTCTGGCTGATGGTCGCCACCCGCTGGCCGCCGGGCTGGAACTTCCTCTGGTTGCCCAGCGTCTTGGAGGCCATGCAGTTGCTGCCGCCGTTGCCCCCGGATCCTGGTCCAGTGGCCACCGCATTGTAGCCCCCGCTGGTGGGCTGTGACGCCTGCATGGCTCCTGATCCTGCCCCCGAGCTCGGGTCGTCGGGATCGTAGCTGGAGACCCGAATGCCGCGCGAGTTCTTGCCACCTGTTTGGGTGTTAGTGGAGTGGGAATGGGCTTAATCATACCGGGTCACACGGATCGAGGGACTATGTCTATGTACAGGGGCCATTGGATCATGCCATGCTTGCAGTACATGTGCCTTGATTAAGGTCCGTCATTAAAAACTTTAAATTTAAAACTTTTGAGATCTTTTAGGATACTAATTAAAAACCACAAAAATAATGATTCTAAGGAATCAGGGTATAGAAATATCAAAAATTAAATAATGCCAAATGATCAATTATTGGAAATTATCTTATAACTAGAGAAAAAGATCAGTAAACAGTTCTCTAAAAGGAAACAAATTAATTGTAATTATTGACTTCTCTTTATAAATAGAAATTTGTTCTTTAAATTAACACGTCATCAAAAAAAAAATTTAAATTTCTAAATTTTTCGGTAGAAAATATATATGATTGAAAGTTCCTAATCAAGGCACAAGTATGATAGTTAGTTAGAATGAGGCCAATAAACATGCAACGAAGAAAACGAGGCAGGCAAACGGTTGTCAAGCTTATCGTACATTTATTGCTAGATATTTTAGATATTTTATACAATTGGTTTAAACATTTACAAACAGAAGTAAATAGAAGCACGACGAGAGCTTATCACAAAAAAAAGTGGTCAAACGGGGAAATCAAAATAAAAGAAAGAAAAAACTTGGTTTTTTGGTATCTTTGAGCGAAACGGAAATACGTAAATAAATGCTGAGGGGAATCTAACTTGAAGACTGCTTGAATAGGGAATCTCCATTCTGTTGCATACAGTATAATAAAATCTTTGTTTACAAATACATAATATTGTACAATATTATAGTTCGTTTCGTACATAGCTAACTTTTAAATAGGTTGTTTAAAAAACGCTTAGACTAAAGTGTAGAGTGTAAACATAAGAAATACAGAATTACAGACATATAGAGGCGCGCGGAACTCTAAGCGGGAAGAAGGCTAAATCCCTAACTCAAAAGGCAATTTCTGTTCAGCTTTCAGCATTTTGTGGAGTGAGTAAGTAAGTAACTAGGCCTAGTACGTATCTCCTCTCTGAGTGTGCTTTCTTGGGGCTTTTTGGGGGATACTTTGTGGGGGAGGGGGCTTTAGGCTAGGGCTATAAGTACACTTGTTTGCTTCGTTTTCGGATCGCTTCCCGCTTGGAATTGTGGAATTGTGATTGCAATTAGTATTTAGTAGCGAGCATCGCTAGTTTTGCTTTTCATATTGATTTAGAGCTTTTCGTAACGCTGGGCCGAGGTTACTTCTGCAAAAGATAAGAAAAACAAGAAAGAAAACCAAAAGTGTGAAAAACATAACAATAATGGAATGAAAATAGGCATCGAAATGCATTAAATGAGAGCAACAAAACACAAGAGATAAGATAGTATTTGGCAGGCACGAAGAAAGGAACGAAACATGCCACAGACACGACACAAAGAGATCTTGGGCTTAAGAGTCGAGAAAGTGGATAAAAAGAACCAACCTGAGCTGTACTGAGTGTACTGCTGGTACTGCGGATGGAAGTTGTGAATAGCATCTGTCATAATATCCTTGGGATTCATCGTTTCCTGAGGGAAGAAAAAGCTTAGATTGCGTAAAACTCAAAGGAAACCCAAAACTTACCTTAAGACTGCTGGAAATGGACTGCATGGTGACAGATCTTCCGTGTCCATCGCTAATGCAGCTGCGCGCATAGACCTATAAATATAATATGATATTTAATATAATATGTTTTATTAAAGCTACTTAACTACAACATACTTTTTAGTGTAAAAAATCAATTAAGAGAGATAAATGATCTCTGGCTTTTTTCTCAAAATACATTTTAAACTAATTTTGCTTCAAATAACTATATTTTTCCATAACTATTATTTCTATTTCCATTTTCTATTATTTCCATTTTCATTAAATGAATGCCTTTCACCTATCTCAACCTGATAAACCCCGAAACTAACCCAAAAACCACTTATTCCGCCCCTATCTAATCACAAAAAATCGTAAATAAACGGTCAAATCTTGGCCCACTCCGACATTCCGAGACTCACCTGATAGGGGAATGCATAGCGCAGCGCGATGGCCGCGAACAGCATTTCGATGCAGATGAAGAAGTTCTGGTAGCCGGCGGACACAGTACCGGGTTCCACCGTGACAGCGCCTGCACTGTCCACGATGGGCGAGATCACGTTGGCCTTCTCCAGGATGGCCAGACCCACGCCCTGCCAGAAGGACAAGAAGATCACCGACTTGATGGTGCAGAACTTCAGAACGGGTTCGAAGGGAGTCAGCAGGTCTCGCGTGGCAAAGTAGAACAGATAGAGACCATATAACGCCAGCGACACGGAGATGTTGTAGATAATCGTGATATAAATGTAACCGCCATCAGCACTGCAATGGAGATAAGGAGAGATATTAGTGGGATTATCCGAACGGTGGAGGCAAAGAGTGCTCTTTAAATATTTGCGTCTGCAAGAAAGATCTTTTTCTTAAGAAGATTTACTTAATCACATTATAGTTTAATGTTAAACAATGAAAACTGGCGTACAACCGATGGGCCAAGTTAATCACCAATTTATGGCGCACGTACGCGAGAAAAACTCACAACTGCGATGGCTTATGCCACCATTTAAGAGGTTATAACACGGGTCATTAAAGCTAGATCCATTACCTCCAATCACCATCGTGGTAGTGGCCAAAGGCCTGCAGAAAGATGATGATGAAGGCCACCAGCGGCTTGACCAGGCAGAACTGCAGAGTGGCCTGCTTGCAGAAGCGCAGGAAGCCAATCGTGTAAGTCTTGCCCTTCAGACAGCAGGTGCCATACAGGCAGGAGGTCTTGATGGGCTTGCCGCGAATCTCCGACATGATGTTGCCCTCGCCGCCCAGGTACTCATAGCACAGCGACAAGAAGTTGTAGATGACAAAGGCTAGGGTGAGAAAACGATTAGTTAATGGCCTTTAAAGGAGGATTACTTCAGCCGAACCTTCGTAGCAGTCGCGCACGGTAAAGAAGTAGATGTACACATTGTCAGAGTTGAAGAAGAGCAGACTAATCCAGGAGTAGGTGGCATAGATGGGCACGATGAACAGGATGCGCACGATCCAGCGCTGCTCCTGCGGATTCGTGTACCAGCGCAGGTGCTGGTAAATCTGCGAGACAAGAGGTGGTTCTCAATTAGTAAATAGGGCAGGTAAGCTTGATAAGTTAACCTACCTGTTGACAGGTGATAAACAAGGCGGCCCAGACACAAACGCCGGCTAGAACCTGGGCGGTCTTGGTCTGCAGGAAGATGCCGTCGCCCACATGGAGCAGGGGGTCCAGCGGCGTGCTCATCGGGGCGTTCTTCACCTGCACTACGTAGTTGGGCTTCCCTGTGGCCTCTAGCGATCCCGAAGTCGTAGCTGTCCCGTTTCCACCACTGGCATTTAGAGCCGCCTCGATGAGACTGGCGGCGGTTGTGCTCATGCTGCAATGGAATCCAAAACGAAAGTGGGATTAGAGCGGGTTGTGTTCGGGAATTATGATAGGGCCTGTTGAAATGCTCAGGGCAGACAGCTAGGCAGGCAAAAATGTTTACGTTCTCGTCTCGACTTTCACACTAACGTTGCTCCGAAAACGACATTCTACTCAGAGACACGAAACCCATTTTCACCATGGCTGTGTTGAGCCATTAGCTTTATTATAGTTGAGTTTAAGCCATAATTGAATATTCTCAAATATAAAATAAATAAAATACAAATTTTTTAGTTTTTTAAGATTTCCTACATATTTGTTTTTATAACATTTGCCTTGCATACCGCTTATTCGCGCTTATATAAATTTTTAACAACACGTTCGAAGCAAATATGTGAATCAGTCATGTGCAGAGCTTGAATAATAGCTCATGAATAATTATAGTATTATACAATTATAGATTACTTCTTGTAGAGCATGAAATTCAACTAAAAGCTATTAATGGTATACTATATTTTACTTTTTATACAATCTTTAAATGAGTGTGTACTGTATAAGCAATCAGAATATTTCAAATTCTTTTTATTGTATCATCTTTAGGTAAGTTAAAAGTGATATAAATTCTCAGAAACACATGTTATTACACAAATAAATCTCTATTTGTTGCTCCCAAATTTATGACAACACTGCAACAATGTTTGGACGAATTGGGTCAGCAAAGAAACAAAGTAGAGAATGTGGAGCGGCAGCAGAAAACAAAACAAACAAAAGAGTAGGCGGTGGGTGGTAAAAGGGGGAAGTGGGATTTAGGAGCAGAGGGACAGAGGCGCGCGCATTAGATCATCACGCAATCCAATATTAATAATGGACTCTCTGGCGCCTGGGAATGCCAGCCAATCAATAAACAAGTGTTAGGCAAGCAGAGTAGAGTACATATTTGATATGTATCTTGAGGCAGTGGCGGGTCTATAGAGTGCATCTGCTCGGGGAGCGAGTCCATTCGTCGGAAATCGCTTTAAAAATAATCTCGAAATGGGAGCTTTTCGAGGAGATAAAGAGAGAGCAGCTGCGATGCTAATTAGCCGTACGGAAATAACACCAAAGTGCATTGAAATCGGTTATATGTACAAAGAAATTTAACTAAAAGTTTTGGGTGAACGGAAACATGTGGCAGTTCAAGTGGACTCTTGGGGCACAGGAAATCGGATAAGAATTCCAGGAAATATATGTAGAAGTTTATGTGAAAACAGATTAAGAACTTTTATACAAACGATTTTATAAAGTACTTTAGTGAGGCGAAAAAGTATAAAAAAAATAAAAGCAAAGGATGGCGCATATGTATGGTATAAGGAAATGCCAATCCAATTCAACTCCCTAGAGACTTTGCTGATAAGGGGCGATTATAAGTATACAATCTTCTTAAAGATACAAAAATAAAATCTGCAGTGAGAACTACAATTGGATATGAACTATGTTCATTGATCATCTAGTACAACAAACATTAGTCAAACAGAAAAGGTATATTACTCTAGTTTATTTGATAATAGTTATTGAGATCCCAATGTTGCATGTTAGGGGGAAATACTGTCGAATCCCTATGCCGAAGTGGAGGAGTTTGCCGAAGACTTGGAGGTAATAGACGACTTGGAGCTGCGCAGGGACAGCGAACGACGGCGCTTGTCCGACTGACGCCTGGCCTTCGACTCCTTCTTGCGGAGCATGAGCAACTTGGCGTACTCGGCGGCCGACTCCTTGGAGGCAGCAATCCGCTTCTTGCGCTCGGCAATCATCCTCCGCTTGCGCTGCAGGACAACCGGGGTGATCAGGCGCTGGATCTTCGGCGCCTTGGTGGTGGCCTTTTTGCCGTCCTTGGCCGGCAGGGGACGACGGACCACATAGCGACGCACATCGTCCTCCTTGGCCAGATTGTAGAGCTTGCGGATCTTGCTGGCCCTCTTGGGGCCCAAACGCCTGGGCTTACAGATGTCCGTGAGGCCGGGGATGTCCTGCTCGCCCTTGCGAACCACCACCAAGGCCAGCACGGACATATTGGCATTGACGATGCAGCCACGCACGGATTTGCGCTTCCTCTCGCCATCGCGACGGGCACGGTAGCAGGATTGCCCGGACTTGAGGAGCAGGCGGACACGCTGCTGGCTGAAAACGCCCTGCATCATGGGGAATCCCTGCTTGTCATTTCCGCCGGCGATGCGGAGCACGTAGCCCTGCCACTCGTCGCCCAACTGATCCGCCGGAACAGAGGCCCCCATGCGCTTCTCGTAGAAAATCCGCAGCTTGTGCTCGTCCACCACCTCGAAGAGCTTCTGGCAGCCAGTGATTGGATAGGAAATGTTCAACTTCATCCCTAGAGAAATTCTTTTTTTCTTAGCTTGAAAGGTCTGGATGTCTTGACGCTGGGCAAAACGAAAATGAATGAGTCCGGAAAGAAAAGCGGAAATGACAAACAGGTAGTCAGTTTAAATGTCAAAGTTCATTACTCAACACTGATATAAAGGGTTTAAAAAGTGTCGGTGAAATAAATCACGTGTAACGATAGGGTCCTGAGAACGTCATCCTAGAATATTTATCCTTTGCGAATCTGCTTATAAGAGAATATTAAGGTATTTTAAAACAGCTGAAAAAAAGTTCCCTGCGCACCACAGTTCAAAATTATGGTATAGTGCAAAAATGGGTACTAGAGAAAGACAACAAGACATTTTGGGAGTGCTATAGCAAAGTGGTGAACTCCTTTTTAACATCAGATAACAAATTGTAAGTGAATCACAAATAGAGAAATATAGTACAAATTGCAGAAATATCAACGTCATATGAATATGTTTTCTATATAATATGTACATATGCATAAATTATTTAATTACTTTTTAACGTCACTAGGGATTGTTCAGTAATGAAAAAAAAAGGGTTTTCCCATTGGAAAAAGAAAAAAAATTACAGATAGTAATATTATTCACACGAGTATAAAGAACTTATATTATATTAACTTAATATTATTTGTAAAATATAGTTCTTAAAACAAAATAAAGTAAAATTTAGATGGCATATGGAATACCAATATGGGGAAGTTTATATGGAACCTTGGCTAGCGACAATACAACTTTGGAGCATTAATAACTTTAATTAAACAAAATAAGGAACTGTTTAGAACTAACTAGGCTTAGTTTATAACATTTTGCGAGTATTTCAGTGGGGTTGACAAGGGTTTCCCATTAGGGGAATGAATATCACGGCAGAGATAACGAATGAGTCACGTACTCGTGCCAAAGTTAACAATACTCGTATTGTTGAACTCGAAATTTGTGAGCACAACGCAAAAACGTTAAATGTTAAAAGCTTGAATTTGCGTACAAAAACCAGAAGTAAATGGCCAAAAGAAGAGGAAGGCTAAAACGAAACACAATCAGCTGCACAAAGAAGAAGCAACAACAAGTTGCTGCTGGCGGAGAGATATACAGAAATTGGCCAAGCAAAAGTCTCCAAGCGATGAAGAAGAGTCTCCAAAAAGAGTGGCGAAAGACGAGTAAAGGCCATATTGCGATAAATGGCAGGCGAAAAGGGGGGTGAAGGCGAAGTTGCTAATTATGGAAGGAGTGGGTGGTCAGAAAACTTTTTGTGGGGCTTCAGCGGGTTAATTCAATTTGAAGCAAAAACAAAAATAAATAAAACATATGCGAAGACGACCTTTTGGAGAGTGTAGAAAGAAGAAGACTGCAAGCTTATCTTTCGCTCTTCCACTCACACACGCACACACACCTTGCTTATCAATGCAAAAATACATATGTAGATGTTAATAAAAACATACAACAAAACACACACTCAATAATTTCGTCATCGAATCGGGTAATTCACAACTTGCCGTTTCAGGGAAAACAACTTTTACACACACAAGCACACACGAACAATTCCTTTTTAATTGGCACGCTAATTACCTTTTTCAAATGCAACTCTCCACGCTTTCGAGCGTTTTCACAGTTGCAAATTGCGTTTAATTTCGCTGCGTCCGTTCAATTTCAATTTTCAATTTCCAGCTATCAGTTTTTCTTTCGTTTTTCACCTGACGCCAGTCGCGTCGCCCACTGACGTCGTCTTTTACTTCGAGGCTAAAAGAATGGCCTAAATCGGTTGATTTATGCCCGCGAACGCACACAATATGTTTGCCAATGTTTGGCAAGCGATGCCTGGGGTTTTTCGCGAACCGTGGGTGTGAAAACAGCGAGGAAAGCGGAGCAAAATAAATGAAAATTACGCACGAATATATATGTCGGTGTGACCTAACTACGTGTTTAAAATCTGGATGCCAATACACAAAAAATACCGAAACATATGTTTTGTGGTATGTGCGGGGGAGTGCTGCGTTCAGCTGGTATTTTCTATTGACAGGTGGTAAGTAAATACCACATTGCACTGCGCAGGTAACAGCCTTTCTTCACTTGCACATGGATTCTAATTTTCCGACAAGGGACCTAAACGACTCAGGTATAAAAAACTAATTATTTATATCTAAGGGCTTTCACTTTACTTCACTGCACTTCTAGATTCCATAACTTGAGTTATAGGATCCCGATTTAGACGTGGGATACCTTTATGATTTCGTGGTTGAATTATCTTTTATACTGCATCAAAACTTATCTTTTACAAGAGGGCCCAAATTTTAACCCATTTTCATGTTCGATTTTTCGGTATTTCCAATAGATCTCAGAATGGGAACCCAAAACTGCACTTTTAGATTCCATAACTTGAGTTATAGGATCCCGATTTAGACGTGGGATACCTTTATGAATTCGTGGTTGAATTATCTTTTATACTACATCAAAAGTTATCTTTTACAAGAGGGTCCAAATTTTAACCCATTTTCATGTTCGATTTTTCGGTATTTTCAATAGATCTCAGAATGGGAACCCAAAACTGCACTTCTAGATTCCATAACTTGAGTTATTGGATCCCGATTTTGACGTGGGATACCTTTATGAATTCGTGGTTGAATTATCTTTTATACTACATCAAAAGTTATCTTTTACAAGAGGGTCCAAATTTTAACCCATTTTCATGTTCGATTTTTCGGTATTTCCAATAGATCTCAGAATGGGAACCCAAAGCTTCACTTCTAGATTCCATAACTTGAGTTGTAAGATCCCGATTTTGACGTGGGATACCTTTATGAATTCGTGGTTGAATTATCTTTTATACTACATCAAAATATATCCTTTACAAGAGGGTCCAAATTTTAACCCATTTTCATGTTCGATTTTTCGGTATTTCCAATAGATCTCAGAATGGGAACCCAAAACTGCACTTCTTGATTCCATAACTTGAGTTATAAGATCCCGATTTTGACGTGGGATACCTTTATGAATTCGTGGTTGAATTATCTTTTATACTACATCAAAATATATCTTTTACAAGAGGGTCCAAATTTTAACCCATTTTCATGTTCGATTTTTCGGTATTTCCAATAGATCTCAGAATGGGAACCCAAAACTGCACTTCTAGATTCCGTAACTTGAGTTATAGGATCCCGATTTAGACGTGGGATACCTTTATGAATTCGTGGTTGAATTATCTTTCATACTACATCAAAAGTTATCTTTTACAAGAGGGTCCAAATTTTAACCCATTTTCATGTTCGATTTTTCGGTATTCCCAAAAGATCTTAGAATGGGAACCCAAAACTGCACTTTTAGATTCCATAACTTGAGTTATAAGATCCCGATTTTGTCGTGGGATACCTTTATGAATTCGTGGTTGAATTATCTTTTATACGACATCAAAATATATCTCTTACAAGACGGGTCCAAATTTTAATCCATTTTCATGTTCGATTTTTCGGTATTTCCAATAGATCTCAGAATGGGAACCCAAAACTTCACTTCTATATTCCATAACTTGAGTTACAGGATCCCGATTTAGACGTGGGACACTTTTATGAATTCGTGGTTGAATTATCTTTATACTAAATCAAGAGTTATCTTTTACAAGAGGGTCCAAATTTTAACCCATTTTCATGTTCGATTTTTCCGTAATAAATAAATAACTAATTTTCAGCTTGAATTAGAATTAGGAGAAATCCCCCTAACGTTCCCGTGCGTGGTATTTGAAGCCGCCTGCCCAACGGTCACACTGATCTCGGTCGCCATGTTGTTTTTTGTCACCGTCACCAACACAAGCGCAAAAAATTACAGCACTTCAATTTTTGTGTTGCAGGAAAATCACAATTTTCAGCCCGATCAACTGCAGAGATTGTCAAATAAATATATTGAGTTTTGAGCCAAAACCAACCCATCTGTCTTTGTGCATTGGTGGTCCAGAATAAGTTGCGTTTTGTATGGTTTTCGTGGTGAGTGAAAGTTCATTGAATAAAAATCCAGTACTCGTACCCAGAAAGCGACGCCACGCCCCCTCCGCCTCTCCTATCCGTTCGTTTCGCTTCTTCTTCATGTGGAGATGCTGCAACAACAACAACTGCACTGGAAGGGAGAGAGGAAACAGAAAAAACAAAGAAAACGGCGGAAATCGGTGAAATTTAGTTAAAACAATCAGTTAAAAGTGTGTTAAACAGCATTGATTAGTGTCGCAACGCCTCGCGGGTTCCTCTTTGGTCTCTGCTTCGCTGAATTCGTTGTGCTTTTCACTTTTACTCATAATTTTACGTCAAGGTACAGTTTAGCGTGGGTTCTACTAGCCTCGTTCTAGATTTAGTTCCAAGATTAGAGAGCATTATAAGGAATAGTATGTATTACCGCGAAAACGTGTGACCCACAAGATAAACTCGACCTTTTCGGGGATTTTCACCCAGGTACACAGCCGCGGCCAAATTAATAAATGTTCAATATACATAGAAAACTCATTTTGTAATAGTATTACTTTAAACTTTATTGGAAAGATTGCGTTGATAAGACTGTACGTAAATTACTTTGAAAATTTTGTTTCATAAAAACTAATAAAACACCATCAAGTGACCAGAATAGCCGACTTCCCTTTTAAACAGGCAGGCACAGAGAGGCAATAATAACACAAAAATAAATGACATAATAAACTTTAATTCAATTTTTATAATATAGTAACTTTGCTGATAACAACCAAAAACATATCCACCCTATAAAGTCGAATTTGTATTTGTTTTGTAAACCTCCCTTATTAATAAATATGAACCCCTTGAGCAACTATAGCAACGTCATTTAGGAAAAGAAATGAAAATCATTTTAGTTCAGCATTGCCAGGGCAAACTCTCAGTTTTTTATAACGTTTAGCTCTATATAGTCTTAATGTTTTGATCGAAAAACACCATTAAATAGTATTGGTGTATCATTTAAGTCGCTAACAAAGTTTTGGCAATTTGTATGTATATTATTCTTATCATTATAAATTGTATGTTGCTGATTATATTGGAAAATTAAGATTTTAAAGTGCCACAGTAATGCTTTTATCGATTCACAATTTTGATTGTAATCTTCATCTG